CAAAGAAGGGAAGGGTCCCACCAAGAAGCTCCCATAAGTCGAAAACTGCCATTGTTCAATGCTATGGAATTCTGGGATTTATAGTTTTGTGAGCTATTAAGCCAAACTACAAATCCCAGGATTCCATGGGATGGAGGCACAGTTTTATTTCTTCTGTGTGGCATTACTGTTTAGACTTGAGTCCCGTCTCCAAGTTTAAGAAAATATTCCAAAATCTGGAAAAGAAAATCCAAAACATTTCTAGTCCTAACCATTTCAAGTAAAATAGCAGCTATTTGAGCCCCAGGGCCATTTCTCAGATTATCTTTTTGAGAACTATCCTTTTTTGGTGCTGATTTTTATTTTTTTTAAAAAAAAAGTTTTATTTTTACTGTGATATAGATTAAAAACTAGCTTCCATGCAATAAAGTAGACAATTAATGAAAAAGCATTCTTCACTAAACATTATTATAGTCATTAAAATTCCCTCCAGTCTATCATTAGCAAATAAAATCTCTCCATTCATATTTGATTGTTGCTAAATTTATATTAATATACGTATGAAAGTCTTTGTGATGTAATGGTTTGAGTGTTGGACTATGACTCTGGAGACCAGGGTTCAAATCCCTGCTTGGCCATGGAAACCCACTGGGTGACCTTGGGCAAGTCACACTCTCTCAGCCTCAAAGGAAGGTAAAAGCAAGCCCCCTTTAAACAAATCTTGCCAAGAAAACCACATGATAGATTCACCTTTTTTTGCCATTGTTAACTGCCTTTGCGTCGATCTCGATCTATGGCCACCCTATAGGGTTGCCTTAAGTCGGAAATGACTTGAAGGCACATAGCAATAAATCCACATGAAACTTAACTGCACTTAAATTGCCTTTATTTAGCTGTATTTAGCAATGATATTGATGTTTGAAACTAAAAGGAACTAAATTGACCCTGAGATGGACTATGATAGTGACTCTGCTATGGAGTGGCCTATTGACTGTAGTGCATTTAGTTCCTTTTTCCATTGACTAGAGTGCATCTAAGCTTTGGCTGCCAAATTTCTGTAGCAAACTGCAGTGTCAATTTTCTTTTTTCTGGAGAAGATTAGGGAGGCACTGGGAAGGGTGCAAGGTATTCTGTGTTTTGGGAGGCTTCTCGGTGGCTCTGAAATTCCCTTCCCAGAGAGGTTAGATTGCCACCTTTGGCAGATAGGCAAAGACCTTCCTGTTTTGAGGACTGACCATACACACCTTGTCCCACCGAAACAGCATGATGGGTTATCCTGAAATCCAGAAAGCATCCAGGGCTAGCCATGTTGGCCATATAGCAAATCCAATAACATCCAAAATCCATCAAACAGTGATATCTTTATTG